GAGCAGTTCTCCATTCCATCTCATTACTTGGATACCGTAAGCGCACTGGATGGTTTTCATTAAATCTTTTGAAAATTAAAAGAAACCCAATATCATAAAGGGAAAGTAAGAAGAGGACGAGTACACTTCCCTGCTTCCTCGATTCCACATCCTTTGGTGTGTAAGGTAACTTCTGCCCTTTCTCAATCACCACTAAGTTGAATCTTTTTCGTTTTGAGGTGGCAAAGGACTTTCATGGTGCTTTTTCCATAAAAAAATGCAGAAGAAATTATTTATTGGAAAACAAATAATAAGCAAAAATAATAATTAGAATTACATAACCCCAATAATTCAATATGATATGTCTAATGATGGCACCATCACATCCAAAGTCATGTGATCAGCCCATCTATACCGTCGGTTCCTTCTGGACCTGGTACAATGAAATGATAAAGTGATACTACAAGTTAGTCACTGTTATCATTATCGGTTGATTGATGGCATTAAGTACCCAACATCAGCACTACTTTTAGCAACTGATAATATCGACTCATAATTCCAGAATTTACCACCCATCTATATCTGCATTTCATTTGTTGTAGGTCGTCTCATCCTTCCACCTACACTAATACTACTAAATCACTTGTATCTGTGAATCATGGAAATTCTTAATTTTTCTTAGAAATAAAGAAAAGTTTCGAAATAAATCATGCAGAAGGTGTTTTTGTTGTTAACGGTGTGAAACGATTGTTACATAGTTACACACTGATCTGATCAAAACCTGAAGTTTCATCATCGGTAGAGGAATGAAAAAGGAGACGAAGAGTGATGAATGCTGTCTGTCAGGATTGTTGGAAAGAGTTGGGACAATTTGAGGACAGACGAACAAACTTCTTCGTGTTACTCGACGTCGCTGTTGTTTTGTGGTGGCGGTGGTGGTAGTGGTATTGACATCGTGTCTGTGCTATTCATATGCTAACCACCAACAGATCCAATACTTTCTTGCTGTACAAAATAATACAGTTCACTTGGTTGCTATAATTTTTCGGTTTAAGATGTAATACTAATTCTTTCCCTTCCAATAGATAATGCCAAACAATTCTGAACAGATTTTGTTTTCGTTTGCTTTCAAAAAAAAAGCTCGACAAATAGAAAATCAATTGAAACGATCGATTTCGTGAGAGTACTGATTTATGTCATTTGATAGCAAAGAAGGGAAAACTTCATCAAATCTGATATAACTTTTCCAAATTTTTTCATTTTATACCGACGACAAGTTTCATTTTTGTACAAAAATTTCTCTTCTCCAAATTACTTCTGTAATCCCTTTCTTCACTATCTATTTCCCTCTACAATCCGCCTATCTCCCTTATGCCTGGCTGTTCCGGCAATCATCTAAACTAAATTTTTGTTACATTAGGCTTACACATTCAACAACAATAATATAAGAGAAAGATGATTCAACACTCTCTTTGCTCGAATAATATTCGTTTTCCTTTTTGTCCTTCAGACAAAAACGAAAGCGATAGTATCAGTTCTTTCCCGTTTTTTCAAAATATATAAAGTTTTGAAAATTCAAGGAGCAATAAAGTCTCAGTAAGATAGCAGGAGACCATTTGTGATGTAAACGAAATTTAAAAATTAAATGAATTAATAAGTGATCGATAATTTTCTGGAAGACACATGTATTGCTGAAGGAGTAGCAAAAGATTTCAGTCATATCAAAATAATTATGGTTAGGATTTCTAAGTCAGAACTGGGAAGTTGTTTAATCAAATAAGTATAACTTCATTATGAGCGAAGGTGAACTTAGATACTAACGCACGAAAATGCTGTCACATGTTGATAAGACTGGATAATAGTTGTTACTAGCAGACTAATTAGCTAATTGAAATGGAGATAGCAGTATAAGAGCTAGTTGGTACCATAAATCTGTTCACTAAGGCACTTTTACGTCTCTGTTAGATGTATGATCCACGAGACAATCTAACGATCGTTAATTTTGTTATAATGTTCAATGGAACAATTCCTGTAAACTAGAAATAATTTTTGTCTTACTTTGATCAAAAAATGAGAAAGTTTTTGTTGACATACTTTCAGCAAATTTGTCTCAACTTCTAGCATTTATCTAATTAAAAATTTTTTGATGATTTGAAACAGTCAGCGTGATTTTCTTACAAAAAGATGTCAAATTAAAAAGTTCTTTTTTGTAATAGAAAAGATGCAGTTGGTACTTCAACGACATGCGATTTGTGTAACGATATTTGTGTGTCCCATCCTAATAACACGATGCGAAAACAGCGATGAGTATAAAGAGGTATCCAATAGGCGACTTACCGATCAGATTGCCGAGAAAGCCAAGCAAACTGTTGTTGACATCGGTGAAGTGATGAAATCTCAACAATCTGTCTTGGAATGTAACGGCAAAAAGTTTGTCCATTTCTCTTTTTCTTCACTTTTTTTTCTGAATTTAAAGTCTTTTCTTTTTTTTTTGAAAGGGGACTAAAATTGGTAGGTTCGTAACATAGATTTAATGTTGATATTGTCTCGTAAATGACTGGTGTTGAATGTTTGTTCCTTTCAAAATTAAAGATGAGAAGTATTTACTTAAGGGCCCTAGACACATTTGTCTAGATTAAAAGATTAGAGGAAAGAAAATTACATTATTTAATTGAATAACTAAATTGGTGAAAAGTACTAATAATTATAATCAGCAGGTCTCTTAAATCATTTCCCTGTTAGACTACTAGCTAATTTTAGTCAATATGATATTTGCTAAATTTATAGATGTCCAAACAACAATATTTTCGTGTTTTATCAATGCTGTGAAAATGTTCCTAAAGAATGTTGCTGGCATATTCGATATTGGCTCACGTAAGTGTTCTGATTTCTGGATTATGAGTACTTGAAAAGGAATCTCAGATTTCTTCCATTTCTGGACTGCAACAATTCCTCCGTGCTATATCTAACGAACTCATTTTTAGCATTGTATTAATATTGGTACTACTTAAAATGCTTTGGTCTGCTTTGGTATGGTGCATACGGAGATCGTGTCACGATTGAAAAAGTGACGAAATAATTTTTTTTATCATTGCTGGTCAACATCTGATAATTGAAATGAGCAAATGACCTACCCTATCCCTTATAAAAACGACGATTTAATTATTCACTTGAAATAGGACGTCATGTCTTGCTCATGTTAAGTTCTTAATTGATGTAAAACTTTCGCTAAGTGAATGTTTGGATTTGATTGCGAATTTCGGCTTCCATTTGTTAACGAATTTTTTTCGAAATTGTATTTCCAAAAATTCAATTGATTTTGCGTTTATTTTTCCTTTGATGGAAAATGTTTTCGGAAAGAATGTTATTCGAATAGAAATTAAGTTTAAAAAAGGCCAAATTATGGTTTAAGAATAACACATCATGTTTCCTTTTATTTTATATCTCAAAAATTTTTTCCCTAACTGTTGATACTAAAGAGCAACTACTGACCAAAATGGCTTCGATAAATTTATATTTGGTCAGTGGCGCAATATGGTGTTCATGCCAAACTTTTTTACAGTGCGAACCTTTTTTTAATGTTGTGATCAGAATTTGAATTAGCCATTACATTCTTTCACAATTTGTTCTAAAATATTACGGTACAATAATTAATTGGTCAATGAATATCTATCACATTTTTCTGTAGGATACAAAATTTAGAGGAAATTTGAGATGTATCAAAAATTCTGAATACAAAATTTAAGATATTCATGAAGTTGTGCATTTATATAAAAAATTTTGACAAAAATGAATTTATGTGTTCGAAAAATTTGCATAAAATGAGCATAGTTATACTTTGTGCACAATGAACGAAATTTTCAGCAATTTCAAATTATAAAAAATGATGCAGAAGGACTTTATAAACAACCAACTATTATTAGTTGCTTATGAATGCTCAAAATAAAAGGTTTCCAGGAATTCTTTAAATTTGTTTACTTATCCATACCCATTGGCAACTTAAAGTAGTAAGGCCCTCATCTCTTTTAGTTTTCACTTTTGTTGTTCTGATAGAAATCTTCCGGGCTTATGTACAATAATTTATCATATTACAAAAACAAAAAACGAAATATGGAAAAATTGTTTTGGATGTAAATGAAAATTTAGGAAACTTGTACATGATTTCATTTTTTTTCCGGATGATAAGTGGAAACGTTATGTTTACGTTCTTAATTAATTTGAAAGAAAAACCGAATAAACAAAGAATGCGAAGGGCGATGTGATCGTCGCTATTCAGTGATACTTTTCATCTTCAACAGGAATTTATTGATATATACTAAATGTTGCATCAACAAATTTTGCTAATTTCACAATGCTTCTATGGGCCAGCAAATCATGCTAATTTACTGTTTCTCTTTCTTGCCCGTCATTTTTATGACAGTTACAGCACGAGAAATACACATATATACGTGATAACGTGACTCAAGCTTGTCCTGGCCATAAGTTAGCTTTCCAAAAAATACAAAAAGGAAAAAAATATTTCCAAAAAAAATATCTTTGATATTACCAAAGTAGACGTATTCTTGTTCGTTATCACCAATGTGACTGAAAAAATACTCAGTGCATACCACACGCTCTTTTTTCCAATCTCTTCTCTATCTTTCACTCACTTAGGGAATGAGGCTTTAACTTTGTATAGTCTTCTTACAGTCCTTGAAAACCTTTATTACAAAAAATAAAATGAACTAAATGAAACTGTTTGAAAACAGCTGACGACAAGGTCTATTAGCAAGTCTACATGTGACAATATTGAAGATAGAACAATGCATTACCAAGAGGTACCTGTAGTAGATGATCACAGTCGTAAAAAATAAATTTGAATTTGACGAAGCTGATTTCATTCCAGAGTTCTTTGAATTAATTGATCGAAAAACAATAAATGTGCAATTCGAGATGATGTCGTTGGCTGGTGATGCCAATCAGTTATTAATTACAGAACAAAGTGAAAATACATGAACAATTACGTTTCCAGGGTATTTTTCACAATGGTTACATTTTGTATTTGTTGAAGCACCTAAGGAGCATGCAAACTACTGCTGAAAATTTGCAGATGGTTTTATGCGCGGTTGAATTTTCAACTAAAGAAATTAGTCAACTATCCATATATTAAATTTTTCATATAGCTTGGAACAAATATACCATGTAAGGTGGAAGAGGATGAAGTCACTCGCAATCACCAAACATTTGAAGTCACCAGTCAAACACATTTACAGAAATATCACTGAGGAAAATCGGTGTCCTAAAAGTGATAATCAAAAACTGCCAACGATGCTTAACGGAAAAAGCGTATGTGATACATGTCGGAAAAACTCCGAAAGTTATAACGCGAAATTGCAGCAATAAAAAGAATGAGATCCTGAGCGCCAGTTCATTTTCGCAAGAAGTATTGCAACAGGTCGGTTGGGTCGACGATATCGAATGTTATTGGTTTTTTGGTCCCCCTTTTGCACATAGTGATATTATAATCGTTGAAATCGTTTCTGTGTTGCCGAGTTTTGAGGAATAAAGGCTCAATTACCCAAGTTTGAAACAAAGAAATCCGGCGACAAGATTGGTGCCACGAACTGGGAATGTCGGACATTATAATCACAAACGCTCAACCGGGAAAACAAAAGTTGGAGAATCTTCTCGAAGAAGTAAAAGCAATAAACTTGACCTTCCTGATCAACATTTATCGGTGGATGAAAAGCAGCAACAATTTGAAGTCAAGAAGAGGACTATAGAAGAAAAAATAAGGCGTCTAAAAACTCTATGTCGGTATACTAGGATCAATCAACGAAAAGTGGTTGGAGTATATCCGGAAACAAAGGAAGGCGCAGAAAAGAAAGGAAGACAAATACCCAGATATGGTTGACGATAATAAAGGTCTTTTAAATGTAATAAATGACGGTCAAGAAGCTATTATAAGTTTAGAAGTGTACAAGGATGAGTTTGAGCTAGTGCCCCAGCGCCTACAGCAAAGCAAGATAAATATCGAACCATTCCAACAAAAGGAGTCCTCCAAATGTTTCAGCAGACAGTAAATTTCTCACAGTTACCACTACTAACATTTAGTGATGACCAAAAATTATGGAGAGAATTCTGTAGTAGTTTTGATGCCGCAGTGCATCTCCAAAAAATACCCGATATTCAAAAATTAAATTATCTGATCTTATGTCTCAAAGAAAACGCTCTACAAGCTATCAAAGGCTATGATATTGCTCCAGAAAACTACGACGTTATAAGAAAAGTTTTGGTCAAGAAAATTGGAAATTTATCTACTATAAAAAAGTTGCTGTACAATGAGTTATACTCCATCAAAGGACACGATCGAGAGTGGAAAACAACAGTCGAAAGTATGGAAAGAATACTTGACAACTGGAAGCAATGGGTGAGTGTTTGGAGCATTCAAGC